GGATATTTATGTAATTGCGAATGTAATTTCAAAATCTTAATAAAGTACTAGCATGACTGCTTAAGGGAAAAAAAAAATAAAATAAAAAAATAAAGTTAAATATGACTTAGTGATTATAACACATTTTCACTAGTTTATTAAAATTATTAGTAAGGTAAGAGTAGATATAGAATTTAGACTGTTTAAATAAAAAATTTACAAGCAGGTTCTATATATAACATCTAATATAAAACTTTTAGCCAGACTACTTAAATTAGATAATAACTAAAGTTATATAAGTAACTAGTTGTATACTTATTCTATAGTTACTCTTAGATTTGTTATACACAATAGTTATTTTTAAAACATACTATTAATAAAATTCTGGATTGCATGTACTTACCTTAATATTACAAAAATTCTTTAATTTATTAATAAATATCTTTAATTACAAAAAATTTCTACTAAATAGAAATCTTCAAAACTTTTTTTAATTTAAAAAAATATAACTAAAATTTTATTTTTAATTAAGTTTATTCTATATTTATTATTAGACTATTTAAAAAACACTTACAAAAATCTTTATTCAATAATTAGACAAAATTATCTCATTTAATAACTTACTTTAAGATTTTAATTTTGTTGCAACCAAACTCATCTACTTACATCTATTCAAAATTTTCAAATATAATTGAATATTACAAATTTTATAATAAAGAAGTTTAAATTTTATTTTAAAATATGTTAAAAATATTTAACCAAATCAACATTCTTTAACTTTAAGACTTATGCAAAAGAATCGGTATTTCAAAAAAAGAAATAGACTTTATTCTGAATTATATACAATCTAAACAGCAAAAATCATTATAGCCTATAGACTTACAAGTTTAGTTTATTTAAAATCTGACATTAAACAAGATAAGACATATTCTTTATTACTATAAAAAATATACTATAATCTTATTTTTTCTTTTATTTTACAAAAATACTACAACTATCTACTTCAAATATCTTTACTATCACCAAATGACCTTATATATAATTAGAATTTACTTTTATTACTATATTACTACTTGCTTATATGAATAATGCAATAATAAAAAATATCACTTTTTACTTGTTTTTCTTTACAAGTTCTTTTTTAAATAAATTACCTAATTGTAGTATTATGCATTTTTTTTTTATTCTAATAAGCAATTTTAATATATACTACTTTGAATTTTTTATTTATTGCTATTTTATAATACTGATTTTATAATAAAATTTTATTATAAAAACTTGATATTTTTTTTAAACTTTAGACTGTTTTGTATCTCTTGATATGTTTCAGATAATAAACACTAAGTCAAGTTTTGTCACTTTCTTTTCTATTAATAAGAAATGTTTTGTTATACTTTTTTTGTTTTCTTTTGATCAGGTTTAAGTGATTTAAAAAACAAATAATTAATAAATATGAAAATATAACTTCAAAACAATTATCTAATGTTAGGAATAAATTTTATACTCGCATTAGATATTGCGCTGAAGCTGATGGTGGTCATTTTAACACAATATAAAATTTTAAAGATATAATAATATCGTATGATATTTAAAATTATGGTCCCTCTGTTTAAAAAGTGACTATTGTTTTTGTGGACTTTTTGCACATCCGGTATGTTTGGAGTACTCCACTAAAACCTTAATCATCAATCATGATACTTGAAATTAATTAATTACAAAAAACAGACAAATTAAAATTTAATAGCATAGATTATACTTCATCTATTAATTTAAATATTTATAATTAAAAGATTATATTTTGTGCATACAGTCAACTCTGGACATAAAAAACCTTTCTATAACATTACGAACTCAAAATTTAAATTTTATAATAGTTTGGTATCAAAGTGCCATATGTCATTAAGAAACGTAATACTTTTCCATCAGTTCACTACAGAAAAAGTTGACTATTTATATGAAACAAATTGGTCAAAAATAATTTATGAATTGTCAAACCCTAATTTGTGTATTTTTTCATCTTTTTTAGCCTTGATATTATCCAAGTCTTGCCACCAAGTAAAAAGAAATTTTTCTGATATAAGTTTAAACCAGGGAGTAAATTTCCAATCTTTAGTCATTAAAGTATATATATACATATTTTACGATGTTAAACAAGTTTAGGTTAGTAAGGGCATAGTGAAAATTTTAAATATCAAAAGATACTAGAAACATACCACTTGGGTTTTTAAACTTTAGGGTCAAATCTTCTAAAGACAAATATTCGATAGCTTTAACTTCATTTGGATTTAACTCAAGATCAACGTCAGCTCGGATGATAAGAACATAATCAACTAGATATAAGCTTGTGCTGTCAATAAATTCAATTTTGCAAAAGAATCAAGAAAAATAGCCTAGATATGAAACGCACTTTCATGTTCACCCCAAATACCATCAGATGGAGCTAAATAATGGATTCTAGTTAAAAATACAAAGTTATCAATGGGAACCTGTTGGGGTTTAATACCCAATTCATGTTGCAATTTTCTTTGAGCCGCACGACGGACACCTTTTCATTAAATCATATGAATATAGGTATAAAATAATTTATGCATTAATAATAGTAATAGTATTGTAGTTCAATTGTACTATTATGTATTTTGAATTGTCACATCAATAAAAAACTGACAATTATGACAATATACACCCATAATAAGTGTGAAATAACGCCCCTGGGAGTTATCTCGCGCTTATACAGTATTTCTGAATGCGAAAACAGAATTTAACTGAATTTGAAATTTCCTAGTTTAAATAGTGGAATACTTCACTTAGCACTTACTCATACCATAACCCTACCGCAAAACCTAAACTTAATTCCGAACTTACTCCTGCTATTAAATTTAAACTTAAAGAAATCTCAACTTCACTTAAATTTCGTTTCCTCAAACAGTTAAATATATATAATAAGGATTTTTATATTAACCAATTTGACCATCTTCATCCAATTCAAGAGGGGTATTTAAAGGATGAGAACAACAGGTATTTGTCCATAAACTTGGAAACGTAATCTTATCATCGGAACGTTGTTGTAATAATAATTTGTTCTCCGAATTAAAAAGAAAAACAGAAAATGCACGATGAAGAAGCCCTTTGTTAATGTTTTCCATCATATGACCTAATATTTTATGATTAGAGGAAGTTAAAGAACATAATACAAAAATTAATTAAAATTTAAAACAGTTCCTGAAATGGATACAATTTTTCTTAGTATCAGCTCCAATTTTTTTATCTTTCTCATCAACCAAAATACACATTTCTTCCATTAATCGAACTTGCTCGTCATTGTAAGCATCAAAACTAACATTTGGCATCATTTTTTCGAAACGATTGGTAAGTACTAAAAGTATGAATGATTGTCGAAAGAATAATAAAAAGTCCAATTATAATAAAATCGGTAATTTTTACAAATGATCGAAGTGTGACAGTAGATTGTGTTGCATAGTGAAAACCTGTAACCGATAATAGCGATAGTATATAGTAATTTCATTAAGTATTGTTGCAGGTTTTCACTTTTTCTGAACTTTTTTGGAAGTTATTTTGTTAGACTTTACTTTTTTTGCTTTTCGGGGGAATCTTAAGTTTCACAGATTTCAAACGATTGTAAAATGGTGTGTATCGAAACGAAACTGAGCAGGAACAAAGTGCTTTAACAAAATGCTGCAATGATAGTTGATGCATTTACGTAAGAAATTAAATTCTCTAACCTATGTTTATCCCACATTTTATTTATTTTTTTTTTATCGGATATTTTACTGACAAAAAAAACTACGATTTGAAAAAGGTTGATCATTTCTAAGTTCATACCTAAGTACATAGTGTATGGTGAAAATCGTTCGTAAAAAAAAAGATTTTCCCTATAACCGACTCCTACCCTACTTGCAATATTAGTCCTAACCAACCAAAAAGAGCATATTTATATTTATATAATACTTAACTTTGTAGTACGTACTACTTATTCTTCACATACGTACCTGGATGACAACTATAAAGTATCTATATATTTGAAAACCATTAAATTCATATGCCAAAATTCATTCTAAATTGATCTAATAATTATAAACAAACCCACCATGTACGGCAATATTAGATCATGGGGCCTGGGATTTACCATTATAGATTAAAGTATTAATTAACGAATGTTAGTGAGAGTGTCCACAATTAAGATTTTTTTTGGAGTAGGATTTGAATCATTAATGGACTACTACGTTTAGTCTACTAATTAATTAAAACTAATTTATAAACGAATAAATAAACCTATTCATGTTATCCAATAATATTAGGGTATGTTCATGTGAATCTCCGAACAACGATTTGTTTTCACATGACGTTCTACAACTTATAAATATCTGAGGATTTGGCTGATTTTCCTGTTACTTAAAAAAACGAATCCAGTTGATCTGCACCTCCTGCATAAAATTTATATGGCATTACAATTTTAATTCTGGTGGGATAATCACTGTATACCTATTTATTTGCATTTATCGGTAGCTAATTATAAGTTGACCAGATGTTAGAAGAAATATCAGACCAACTTGAAAAAACTTTTATGAATGAGGAAATTAACGTTAAAAATGGTATTCTGAAGAAATTAGATGCTGATGATCGGATTATATTAAATGTTGGTGGCGTTAAGGTAAGGTTTTATGCCCGAAAATATGAAAATATTATGTTTTTTTTTGTATGGTTTACGGTGTATTAACATTTTATAAATTTCAAGTATGAAACATTTCGGTCGACCTTAACAGCATATCCAGAGACACTTCTTGGGATTATGTTCGCAGATCGAAATAAAGAAATGCTTCATCCGATAAATGGCAACGAATTTTTCTTTGATAGAGATGGCTATTTATTTCGTCACATTCTTCAATATTATCGCACCGGAATGATTCATTGGCCAGAACCAATTGCTTATCATGATGATTCCACTAATCACACACGTCTTGAATTAAAAAAGTCAAACAAATCATTTGAAAGATCGGAAATAAAAGATGATAATACTATTCCATCATACATGTTTCCATTTTCTCGATCAGAACTTGAACAAGAGATGCAATATTTTCTCATTCCAGCCGCATCTGATGATGATGATTATGATGATAATGATTCTTACAATCCTCCACTTACATTCGCCAACAGAGCTGTGGTTGACAATGTTAATGGATTTCTAAATTCACTTATTGATGTAATGCACCAATTGGCTGGTCTATTTGAAAAGCATATCTTTATCACTTTTTATCATGATAGACAGCCACCGATATTTAGTCTAATAACTCCCAACTTAAATGTTGTTAAAAATGAAACTGCGCCGTTTCGGGAGAATATTAGAAAATTATTGTTACCCTATGCTGGAGTCGGATATACTTTACTAATGAATTTCGAACGAGAGATTGAATTGTATTTGAAAGGAGAAATACCAGAGTTAAATTGGTCAATTGAAAAGCCTGCTGGATTACCTAATAGATTTATCTTGCATTTGAGTTTTAACGACAAATTTTTAAAACAACAAATATTAAAGAATAGCTATTTGGCTAAAGTTGTTTATAATACAAACGGCTCTTCAAATAATGATAAATCAAGGGGACATACGACTAATATTAATGGTTGATAATTGAGAATAAATTAGTGCCGATGGTTATGGATATTGACATTTGAGAAAGAAATTAATAGTCTTTAGATACTCTGAACAATCGGGTTGTTTCAATAACTAGTGTAAGATTTTTAATTTGTATTTGCATAGTTAATATTAATGAACATAGAGTATATATCTATTTATGCTTTCTTACTTTGTTTTTAAGCAATCACTGAAATATTAGATGTAATAAATGGATAATTGAAATTTCAAAGGTTCTTTAAAATTTATTCACACTTTTAGATAATTTTAAGAAACACTCTTCATTGTATTGCGAGAACAACGATTTATCATATGGAAAATACTTCATCAGAGTTAATGTCACTCCTATGAAAGGAATTTTTTTTATGATTAATATCAATATTATTGTTTGTATGTATAATTTCATGGCAAAAATATCAGGTAAATCACATGAGGTCAGAATTGTGAGTAACTGCAAAAAATGTTTCGATATCATAAATATATGGTGTCACTGAAAAATTATAATATGTATATATCAAGTATCTTATTTACAAACAAGTATTTTTTAAATACATACATGTATGGCTTTGCTTGTTTTCTGTTATGAAAATCTTTTCCAAATAACTAAAGATGCTGCATTTATGATTCACTAAGTTGCAAACTAATAAAACCTACTATATAAATTATGTTAGAATAAATTTGCATTAATTATTATTTATTTCATTGTCGCGATTGGGTCTCTATTATTATTTTTTTTTTTTTTGATACCATGAGGACGACGCGTGTCGTATTTGGGTCTCTATTTGAAAATACAACCATTGAAATCTACATACATTCCTTAATTATCAATTCTAACCATAAAAAAAAACGAAAAAAAAACATCACAAAAAAATTTAAAACTTCACATAAAGATAGGACCGGATTCAGCATCAACTGTAAATATTATACAAAAATGAAATTAGCTTTATGTAATAAGCTTATACAAACTTAATAAATCGATTCTCATTGTTTGTCTCTCATTTTTGGGATAAACTATAACAATAAAGAACATATACGAATACTACCTCTTCCACTATCAAGCAACCTACACAGCCTTAGCGAGTATCGGCTGGTTATTATTAATTTTTTTTTTTTTGAATATGTGATGCATTAGCTGTCGTTCTGACAAGCCATCGCCCTATTGTGACTATCGTCTCAACAGCCACTATTAAAACAATCCCTATACTCAAAAAACTTGTTCAATTCTTCGATCATTCTCTTACTATGGCTGCCATCCCGGCAGGCCAATTCAATCAAGTACTGTCTTACTTCCGGGTAGGGTGGTGGGATCGATACAGTATAACCAGAATGAAAGTCGAGTTCGCAGACAAGACAAAGTTAATTCCTACTATTTTCGCTTGCCTACCGATATACTATGATCCAATTACCTCATATTAATCAACTAATCAATTACCTCATACTTCTGTACTTACTAATACTACATCACGAACTTTGAAGAACCGTCGATGTTACACGATTGATCCTTCACTCGGTGTGCACATATAAAAAAATTAATTTACAATAGTAGATCATTCCGCTAGTACATGTCATGATTATAATCCCACACCATTTTTATTATAATAAAATGGTGTGGGATTATAATCGTAACATGTACTGGCGTAATGATCTAGTATTGTAAATTAATTTTTTTATATGTGCACACCGAGTGAAGGATCAATCGTGTAACATTGACGGTTCCTCCTATTCTTTGAAGGTCCATATATTTACGTGATATCACATAGAGGATAATAATATAATATAATTGTTTATATAAATTTATGTAATTGTAAAGTTACTTGACAATTTATATAAATTTATGTTGTTTTTTGTGTAGTATTGCTGAAGGTCCGTAGAATGCTTAAAATATTTGCGAAAATTATATAAAGTCATAAATTTATGTAGTTTTTTTTACCTAGCAAGTTCGTAGAAAAAAGTTCGTGATGAAGGTATGCTGTAAAAAATTTTATAGGGTCAACACATGGAGAAAGAAGTGTTAAAATGTGCAAAAGGCAATTTTTTATTGTTAAAGATGCTTAATAATAAATATTGTTACCGGTGACAATGCAAATACAAAGCACAAGTAATGAAATACGTGTCTACAGATGATATATTTATTAAATGGTTACCAAATTCTTTTGTTTGTATATAATCCTCGAAATTTCATAGTCATGGTAAAAAAAATACATCGTTATAGAATATTTTAAATTTTTTACTTATCAAAAATTTTTATGTAGGTATAAAATATACAGAATATAGTAGGTCTTTGAAATTGATCCAAAAAATGCATCTACACTTATAACTTATTAGATCAACATGAAGAATTTTATTCATGGGTCATCGGAAATCACTCGGAGATTTAAATCAATTGATAGAAATTGAATTTGAATTAGGATATAGGATCGGGCCTAGAGGTTCTAACAAAAGATTTCTTGCATATGTAGATCGATCTTTAAAAATTAATCCTGAAGACGTATTTGCACTTAGCTGTCGGGACATTGTAAATAGAATATTAGGTTTATATGGAGCAGGACATCTAATCACATCATAGCACTGAATTTTAAAATTTATATAATAATTTAATAGCTTTGAAATTTTAAAAAAAAAGAGAGAGAAAAAGATACTGTATAAAAATTAAATTAAAATTTAAGTTATATAATACAAGAGCTGAATTTTTAACTTTTATTAATAAAATAAAGTGCTAAATTTTTTAAACAAAACAACTTTTTAATAAAAAGGTTTTTTTAAAAAAAACTTTCTATTTCTATATTCTTTAGGTTTTAAATAATATAATTATAGAAAGATTTTTAAAAAATTGTTTTTAGTTAAAAAGCTATTAAACTTTTATTGAAGCCAATTATGTTGTGATGCGATTAGATGTCCTGCACCATATGAAGAATCACTTTTAGATCTAAATATTGAAAATTGATTCAAACGATACATTCGCACTTAAAGGTTATAGGGTTAGGGATGGAAATCGATTTTGAAATCAAAATCGATCTTATAATTGGATAACTTAACCGATTATTGCGCTTTGCAAAATAGTGTGGCCCTCGCAGACCATGATAACATGTAAATTCACGGGAAATTGGGCGATTTTTCGATTCTAAGAGAATTTTACAGATTTCAAAATAGATAGAAATATTACTGATTGCATATATGATTGATAGACTATTTGGAATCTCCGAAATTTCCCATTATTGTTGTCACGAAAATTGTGGGGTTACACTTTTTTGCAAAGCGCAATAATCGATCAATCGGATAAAAAAACTAGAAAAACGCCGACGTTTTTGGGCTGGAGCTTTAATTCTTAGGACTTGCACTTTAGAATTAAACTGATATTACATATAAAATTATATTTAAAATAACGGTATTATATATAAAATTATATTTATAAGCTTATAAAGAAAGTAATCTTTGCTCCTCCATTAATCTTTGTTGTAAACGTGAATTATGTCCTAATTTTTGTAATCTATTGTTGGGTTAGGATAACTGTGACTCAGTCGCTCCACAATTCTAAATCTCGCGTAACGTACGATAAGTAACCTTTTCGAAAGAGGGTGTTAGTTTTGGCTGGTGGGTGATTAAGGCTTTCGGTTACTTTGGGTCAATGAAGTCCAACAGGGTAAGTCACGTGAACAATAACTTGAACGAACAACGATGGTTATTGGAGTTTACAGGGTTTATAACGGTATTAGTGTTAGGGTTTTATAATGGATGATATAATGTATTGGGATTTGTTTATTAATTAAGCAAACTGGATATCTCATTCCTTAGGATCATTTTGGTCTTTATTTATATTTAATTTTTAATTATAACTTCTTTAATTACATTAATTTCATTAAACCATTTAATTTGATTCCTCTAATTTATCCACCTAAACCCTTTTACTTAATAAATCCTTCTTTGCTAATTAATCTCCTTTATCTATTAAATCTCACTTCCTTAATTTATTTAATTAATTGTATTAATGTAATTAATTGTATTAATGCAATTAATTGTCAGGATATCTATATCAAGAATTTGATCATTATATCTGTCCTCACATAAATTCCTAGCAGAACATTTTCATCATGTTCTTGGATCTAACATTATTAAAGAAAAATATGTTATTGATAAGAAGCTTAGTAAGGGTACAAACTTTTAATATATCTACAAATGTAAAACCAGTTGTAAATTCTTTATTTTCAAGATTTATTATAGTTTATGATAAAATTAAATCTTATGACTTATGAATTGTAATTATTTAAGTAAGGTATAAAAGAAACTGTATACAAGAATAAGTTTCTGATTTTTCTTTTTAAATATATTTAAGAAATCAAATTAGTACTACTTGATGAAAGTTTAATATAAATAATGTTGGATCTATATAATTATCAATTTTAATTAGCATTATTGTAGGTAATAAGTAAGACATTTTTTATAATTTATATAGAATATTAACAACTATACTCATGGTTTCATTAACTAATTTTCAGTTCAAATATTAGATATAAGCATTATATAAGTTCTAACAGATAAAAATAAAACAGGTTCAAGATTACTTATTATTTTAGAAAATAAATTTTTAGCATCAGTACTATTATGTACAATTTTGATTTTAGTGATAAAAAGGTTGTTATTTTATTTTTGAAATGTTATATTTATCAACATGGTCTTATATTGTAAATAATTAAATGTTATTCTTAAATTTGGCTTTTTCTATTGGTAAAACTTATATGCAACTTTATTATTAAGTAATTATCAATTATTTTTCATAGATTTTCTATTTCATAAGCATAAGAAAAGATTATAAAATACATGTTATTCTTTTGAATTTCTGGTTTGTCTTTATATTATTTCTAATTTAAATATTTTATTAAATTGCATAAAAATTTTATAGCTTATTTTGATATAAAATTATATAATCAAGAATTAGATATATAAATTGAAAGATTCAAGACAGGTAGAAACTGTCTAAAATCACTAAAAAATAATAC